ATTATGTTAAAATTTAATGTCTGTGTTGAAAGTTTCAGTGTTAAAAAAGTTTTGGGCGGCATAAGTGAGATAAAATGTATATAACCATTGTGGTCTGTACTAGACCTAACCTTTTTTACTGTACAATCATTGTTAAGTTTTACTGTCAGTAAGTGCCTAGACAAACAGTTTGACATATTTTTTAGTATTGTTTTTAAAGTGATTATTTAACATACTCATCAGATTTTCATCAAAACATTTTCTATCAAACAATTGAAGGACAGAAGTTGTGCGTGCACGATCACATTTCACAAATATTGAAAGATAAAAATCAGTAAATGTTGACTTTAACAAGCAATGTTATCTTCATTATCAGTGACTGTCATTGATGCCTTCCAGTATAAAGAGGTTGTTGACTTTTTTTGGTCTTGATGGTTTTCATAAGAACACCTTGTTTGAATATACAGTACAGACCACATCTATGAAGTGAGCTGTTCTTAGAATATTTTTTTCAGTGTACTGTATTATTTTATACATGAAATGTTTGTTGTTTGAGTTATATGTTGATTTTCCTTAATGAATCGTTAATAAAATCTAAAAGGAATGTTCTCAAAAAATGAAAGCTCAGAAATGTATTCACTTAGAGGTTTAAATGAGCTTATTTAGAGGTGAACAGTCTTATTAAAAAAAAAAAAAAGAAAAATCATTTTCATTTATTATATTGCAAGTTATGTTGAGATTTATAGTCATTCGGCTACTTCTGCAACATACAGGGGAATAAAATGTTGTGTCTTGCAGGACCACAGTGCTACACAGATATTCAAACATAAATATGAACAAAACACTGATGTTAGAGCTATTTTAAACCTATACATTACTAAAATACTGGAGCGGTAATCTAACTAACTATGCATATACTATAGATACTTAAACTACACTGTAAAAAATGTGCTATTTAATTAAGTAGATTACAGTATTACACATTGTTTTTCAAGACTTATTTTTTAGCTAAAAACTATTTGAATAAATTGTGTGAAAATTACTACATTATTTTAGAGTGTTAGAAGATGATTTTAATATTATTAGTGGCTTTTATAATTTAAGCAAACCACAATCTACTCATATTTACAAATAAAAATTACTCATTCATAACATTTAAAATCTATAATTTATAATGAAATACATGCACAATGCTTTTTTTTTTTTTTTTCAAACATCGGTTTATTACATGCTCCACAAATCACAAAATGGTACATACAATTTGTTAAACAAAGCTAATTAAAATTTACAGCATTTTAAGCTCTGAAATAATGTGTTTTATCCATGCCATGGAAACAAATGTTCTGTATTTTTTTACTCTGTGCACACACAAACTTTCTTTTGTTGGAATAGTCCTACAATAGGCCACTGCCATATCACCCTGCAGGCCAAGACCGGATACTGGATCACTGAATCTAAGCAGGGCTGATCAGTACCTGGATGGGAGACCACATGGGGCACTTTAGATCATTTTGGAAGGGCACTTTCTATCCAAGACTAAAAAGGGCATGTGCACTACATAGGTTCAGCTCTATGTGTGCACGTGCCTGCCCATCATGGCCTCCCAATCATCCCCATCCCCTGAATTGGCTCTATCACTGTTTCTCCACTCCATCTATTGCTGGTGTGTGGTGAACGCACTGGCGCCGTTGTTCCGTTGGGCTGCCGTCGCCCAAGTGGATGCTGCACACTGGTGGTGGTGTGGAGAGACCCCCCTCATGATTGTGAAGCGTTAGGTGTATTGCCATAAATGCGCTATATAAATACACATTACTTATTACTAGTCATGTTTTAGACAAAATTAGAATTTGTGTATTGCATAACAAAGAAAACCAGTATTTATAAAAGCTGTATCTCAAAACATTAGCAAGACACTCAATCAATCAATCAATGCAATGAAATTAAATCAAAAGGTTGTAGCAATCGATTTGTGATTTTAATTTGGGTGATTTTAATTTGGGGAATATTTGTATAAATAAATGTATAAATATTTGTAACGGTTTAAGACAGTTATATTGTACTCCTGGATGAGCTCTCCCTCTTTTCCACACAAACAGACCAGCAACTGAGGACAACTTTTTTTTTGTCACGTCTCTGATTTGATATGAGGTCTGATGCAACTAAGTGTTGAAATTAGTAATATTGCCTAATAATAATAATATACATATAACATCAGAAAAAAAAATACCTGCTGTATGGCACCCATTCTCTATCAAAATATTCAAAATATATACAAAAGAGTAAACTGCCTCCCTTTTGTGGGGAAATAATGTGAACATTTTCTTCATTAATCTAAATAATTAAACAAGCAAATATTAGTATGTATATATTATACTGTAAATACTTATAAAAAATACTAATAATAGCCGAAAAAGAAAATGAATGAATGAATGAATGAATGAATTAATGAATGAATGAATATGTATACATATATTCATTCATTTTCTTTTTGGCTTAGTCCCTTTATTAATCAGAGGTCGTTACAGAGGAATGAGCCGCCAACTTATCCAGCTTCTGTTTACTCAACGGATGCTCTTCCATTGGCAACCCAACACCGGGAAACACCCATACAATCTTGTATTCACACACATACACTACTGTGGGGGAAACCAGAGCACCCATTTATTTTAACATACTGCAATAGATTTTTACCTTTAAGCAAAACATTTTTCACATCATTTCAACATTTAGAACCCTGCAGATTATGTACAAATTAAAGAGAAGAAAAGAAATGCGCTAGGCACAAGGTTTCACAAGTCATCTTCATGGGCATCATTGTAATTGTAATGTTTTGACTGCTCTTTAAATAAAAAACACTGGATGTTTTTTGTAAATGTTTATAAATCGTAAATCATAATGTACTCTACTTGTTTACTTTAATTGTTTCCTTCTCATCCTTCAATTCTAGTATGGTGGAAATTTTCATTTTGCCTAAACAAATAGATTGTGACTGTATCAAATGAATAAAAGCAAATATTTATTGAACTTAGTATTGTATTTTTAGGTGTGCTCAATTTCCTGATCAATTTATTTAAACATCTACAAATCAAACAGTCGCATCCTGTAACCCCTGTGTTGCTTACGCACACTTGACCTCAAGTAAAAGCAGGACTCCTTCTGGAACTTCACTAAATCTTCACTGAAAGTAACAATCCAAACACCAAGGTGAGTTTTGAATAATATAGCTAAAAAGTATTGTTGAATACCTTCTTTAAATACACAGAGAATCCACAGTGTGCAGAGTGTGAATACACACACTTTTTCTGCTTATTCATTTTCACCTTCATTGTGTCAATGCAGAGAAAACTTCTGCTTCTTTTCATCATGATTTCTATGGGGAATGCAGAAGGAACAATATTTTTTATCTTTTTTAAAACACAATTTACTGATGTTTTGTAGCCTTATAAAGAGAAATAGCAGGAAATAGCAAAGATTTTTATTAGTTATAAGGAAAGCTTTCTATTCTGCAAAACAGGCTACCACCGAAAGCCGGGAACATAACCCCCTTTCAAAAGCCCACCCCTGCCCCTCCCCCATTAATACTTATTATTTAAAAAACATACATTTGTACAATTATTATTCTAAATAAGTAAAAAATATATATTTCTAAATGTAACTAGAAAACAATGTAAAGACACAACTGGAGTGATATGCTAAGATCATTTAATAAATATACATGATCTTAGCACATCACTCCAGTTGTGTCCTTACATTCACATCAGTTTGTTTTTGCTTTCACCAGCCTTGGTTTGGTTGTACATAGAGAATAACTTATTTATTCTGAAATTACCACTCTTAACTACTATCTCAAAGCTTTTACTGTTGCACAGCCGATTTTTACTGGGGCACGAAAATTAATTGCTATTTATCAGAAAATAAACAACCAAACCAAACTTTGTTTGAAAGTGTCTAAATATATTGTTTATTCCTCCCCAAAAAAATAGATATCCTATTGACAATAAAAAATTATTCTAAAGAGAAACTGTGAAAGTGTGGGTGGGACTCTGGCATCTTCAATTCAGAGTCTGCTGCCTTCCTCACACATGCTTGGAGTGGTTCTCATGGTGCTGAACAAGTAAGTCATGGTTTTAATCTAAAGTGAAATGCTTGTTTGACTGGACTGGTGAAGTTTTTTTATTTTTTAAACTAAAGTAATCAGCTTTGGTGTCTGGGTACAGTTTATCACTCAGTATAATTAATCTCTTCACTTATTAGGAAGGACAATGGCTGTGGAGTGATGCATCTACGTTTGACTACACCTACTAGTGCTCTGGTAATATTGGTGTTGTTGAGAACTGCATGGAGATCAGTTATACCCGTAAGAATGCAGCATGGTTTGCTTTCAATAATGATCTAATATTATACAGTAACATTTGTTGTGGTCAACATTTGAAGTGGATTAAACTTTTCATCAAAGTTGTCTTAAAACTACTGAACAATACCTAATCCTGTCTTAAGACAGGTTTGAAAAACATTTTTGATCCACTTAAAATGCTGACTACTATATATATTTTGTTGAGGGCACAATTATTCAAAAAATATTTATATTTTCCTACTTAGCAGATTAAGGAATTTTTTTACAGTATTTTCTATAATTTTTCTTCTTCTAGAAAGTCTTATTTGTTTTATTTCAATTAAATAAAAGCAGTTTTAATAAAAAATACATAAATAAATAAAACATTTTAAGGTCAACATTATATGCCCCCTTATGCAATATTTTCTCAATTGTCTACAGATACAATCACTTGTCTAATTAACCTAGTTAAGCCTTTAAATTGCACTTTAAGCTAAATGCTAATGTCTTAAAAAATATCTAGTAAAATAGTATGTACTGCCATCATTGCAAATATAAAAGTCAGTTGTTAGAAATTATTAACTATTAACATAATAGTTATTAAAACTATTATGTTTATAAATATGTTGAAAAAAAGTTTCTCACTGTTACACAGACCTTGGGGAAAATATAAAAGAATAAAAATTGAACAGGAGGGCTAATAAGTTTTATTGTTGTGAATTAATTAGGCTACTGTATGTGCACATGGCAATAATCATGTTTTCTGCATATTAAGAAATGTCTGCGTCCACATGGAAAATGGGAAATCTTGGTTAAAACTGTAAAATATATATGCCACATTTGTATGTGGGGGTGTACACTAAATACACTAAATATTAAAATATGATACGCTAGGGTCACAGAAGAATGCAATGAACATGTACATGAAGTCCATCTTCAGTAAAGGCAATGATACTTCTTCACAGACAGTGGTACTGTGTAGATAAGAGACTGAGTGAAACAATAATGAAGTTTTATGAATAGACCCCAGTCTTTTTCCTGTTGGACAGGGCACTACAGTAGAAAAGAAGTTATCTTGTGTGGAGATCATTAAAAAATAAAAAATAAAGAAAATACAGGCAATATGCCATCAGTGATTTAATGAGAACATCAAGCTACAAAAATACATTTGTGCGCTTATAGCATCTCTCATGGTGACACCTCTGATGTAATACCGGATTTCTATGTACTGTACATGCCTGTGTTTTAAATAGAGGAAATTGTGCCCCAGTATTTGGGGCCAAATGTCACTGCAGAGTACTCATGAATGTGCACTATATACCGAGGAGAAGAAACTGTTGAATAAATGTAATTTTGTTTTAGGTGCATTCTGATAAACCACTGAAGTCATATGGTAGTTGTAAGTGGAGGATGAGGGAGCTCTCAGATATTACCTAAAATAATTTGTGTTCCAGAAGACGAACAAAGGTCTCAGAGGTATCAAATAACATGGGAGTGTGTAGTTAACATAATTATATTTTTGGATAAGCTAACCCATTAACTTTAAAGTTTCTTTTTTTTATAATTATTTTTTTGGGTTTTTGCCTTTATTCGATAGGACAGTAGAGAGTATTTATAGGAAAGCATGGGGAGCAGAGAGGGGGGAAGGATCGGCACAGGACCGCGAGGCCTGAATCGAACTCGGGTTGCCGTGAGCACCAGAGTGCATGTGTCGACCCACTAACCACTGGCACCGACCTTTAGAGTTTCTTTAAGGAACCATCAATGACACTACAGAGTATCTTTCCAAAATGACACCGCAGAATCACATTTGAATGAATTTATCAGTTTCAAGTTTAAAGGTGATTCAAATTCATGACTTTTACCTGAACAAACAAAGCTTTTTTCACTTGTATCATTTCAATTTAACACGAACACTATGCAGCTTATCCACAGATGTACAAAATGCACAAAATGATTTAGCTCGGAAAAACAAGAAATGCTACTCTCATCTTTTCACAGTGTACGAGTTATTCATCATCATCATCATCGTCATCATCATCATCGTCATCATCATCATCATTGTCATCATCGTCATCATCATCATCATCATCGTCATCATCATCATCATCATCATCTTCTGTGTTTACAGTTCCAGAAAGGACATCTTCTATCCAGTTTTCCAGTTCTTCGGCTGACGGCAGCTCGTCATCATTGGGTATCTCTAACCACACACTGTCCGCCTGTCCACCATGATTCATTGAATGTTAAGTCAGTATTAAAAATTTGCATAATAAGAATAAAATAATAATGATATAATGAAAGTATTGCACTTACATCTGTAACATTAACCACACCAATCTGTGGTCTAAAGAGATCAACCTTGAAGGTCATCTCCCAGTAAGGAATGAGCTATGAAGGGAAATGTAAATATGAAGAGGAGCTTAAAAGAAAGAAACTGTATTTTCTCATCACAGAATTACTAACATTCGACTGTCATGCATCTATTTATAATTTATTCACCAATGGGAAGTTGTCTGGGTCGATCCACACAATGCTCAGGTCTGGATTGTGTGTGTTGTCTCTGGCGACTTCCTTCAAAATCTCCAAGAATTCAAAGCCATCTAAAAAAAAAGGTCAACCATTTATTTGTCATTTTATGCATCATTTAAGGAATTATGTATGTTAAACTGCACATACCAGGGTCCTCCTCTTCAGCAAACGCTACAATGTGAATGCCGTTTAAATCATCCTCCTGTAAAAAAAAGGTAATTTATTTCAGTTTCATTGCTTCACAGAATCTCCTAATATTCCACCACTTCACATTGTCAAGTCAAATCACTTTCATTTCTTTAGCCCTTTATATTAGATGCAAGCTTTATATACTAAGTTTTGTATGTTTATTTACAGCTTTAAATATAGATTTTCAAAGACACTTTACATCAGTGGTCTCAAACTTAGTTCCTGGAGTGCCGCAGCTTTGCATCGTTTGGCTTTAACCACTTCCAACTCACACTTGCTTAATAGTCCATATGCTTATTTCACGTGACCGTCATTTTAAAACACGAAAGCAAGGCTGCGGTGGGAAGAAACCCTGAAGTATAGGATCAGCACAGTAAACATTGCAACAACATGCTGTGGACAATAAAACTCAAAATGCAGAAATTGTGTAAACATCACCTTAATATCATTCAGTTCAGTTTATTTTAAACAATTAAAAGCATATCAGGCAACAAACAACATCACAATCTCTTAAAGAGTGTCCTCCTAAACTTCTGTTCATGGCACCAGGCAAACACAGTGGAGGCTTCCCTGCTTGCTTCAGCCTATGTAATGCGGTGAGCGATGAAGTCCTCTGTAGCACATCCTTGTGTTGTCTGTAATAGTGTTGCCCGGTACTGAAGTTTTAAAAATGTCCATTTCCTGCTAACATTTAAGCTCCACTGAGCGCGTTCTTAAACAAGGCTGATTTGCCATAGTACTAAACAGTTGAACGCGGTGTTGCGTTCAACAGTGCTTAAATGTAAGTGGGAAATTGACGTTTTTTATAAATTTCAATGACGAAATTAAGTATCTTGACAGGTCTAGTATATTGAAAGAATCAGTTCATTAACTTGGGTTTAATAAATTGCAGCGAAAACATGTGTTTGGGAAAGATCATGTTAGCTAACTAGTGCCATTTTCCTTATCTTAGCTGAAAATGGGGTCTGACATCCCTTTTTATTTTCACTTTCCATTCAGAAGGGACCTTCGGGTCACTCGGAAGACAGTAAAATGATAAATTTGTGTCGATTTCTCTTTGCTGATACAGGCAGGTACACAACATTCCTGTTTGACTCTTCACATACTTCCGGGTTTCTTCCCACCGCAGCCTCAATTTCACTTTTTCGATGGCGGCCGAGTGAAATCAGTCTATTGTAGTCTTGAACAACTTGATTAGTTGCATCAGCTGTGTTTGATTAGGGTTGGAGCAAAACTGTGCAAAGCTGCGGCCCTCCAGGAATCAAGAGTGAGACCTATGGTTTACATGGATAACCAGGAAAGGATAAAAAGCCATAATGTTTCAGTTTGTAAAATGTTTTCATGTCCAGCAGGTAGTGGTAGAATGACAGCTTAATTCTTGTTAGTTAAAAGGTGATTCAGTTCAGTTTAATATGGATATCACTGTTGAAGAACTGCTCCTTTAACCCCAAATAAGCAAGGCAGAGGTAACAGTGGCAAGAAACCAAAACTCCAGCATGTGATGAAAATGGAGAACAAACCTTGGCAGAAAACAAGCTCAGTCAGGGCACCAGCTCTCCTCTGGCCACATGAGAAAAAAGGCAGAGCTGCTGTCTAAAAAGTCAATAGCCTTGAGAATAATGAACGTGTGTTGTTAAGGTTCAGGTCCAAGTATGTCCCTGGCCATTGTTCAGACTAGCCAAATAGGATCTGTGTAGAGACTTTTGTGTCACCAAGGTTCTCGAAGACCAACTGATCACTTTTTATGGCTTTATTTAGTGATAAAGTTGACCTTCTTCTGTACTGCTTTTTTACATGGCCACTGACTAAACAAATACATTGGTAATGTGCACATAAAACAATGGTTCAACATATCTTAAACTAGTAGCTCCAACCTTTAGCCAAATAAAGCATAATGGCTAAAGATAAGGCTCTGGCCTTTTTATGAATATATATAATGCTTGGGGATGATCCGGTCCTTATCCATACTAAAGCTAGATATATAGCCAACACAGAACAGCCTTTCTTGGTCAGCAAAGACCTTGAGACAAGTCTTTATTAGATATTCTTCTTAGAGACCAAAGTGATCAGATAAAACCCCTACATATATCCCTATGGCAATCTTAAATGCACCATGCCAGAACTGTCTTATACCTGCAGCTGTATCTAAAAGTCTCATCAAAGCCACTTATAAGCCAGTTGTCGGCTAAATTGAAGCCGTTTTTCTTTTGCTAGGGCAGTAGAAATTGTCCCTTGACTGCGCTTTTTTTTTTTTTTAAGATTTTTACTCTGTTTATGTCTACTTTGGTTTGCTTAGTTGAGATTAATTGAGTTGTCATACAACTGACTCACACCCCTCATCATAGACATTTGTACCTTACTAAAGAGACTGAACACTGAACTAGCTTCCATTGCCATCTTTAACGGAACTTGAATTGAACTTTTCACACAGCCCATATTTATATTTAAATATATTTAAAGTAATCATAAAGAGTCATCATGCTGTGAACTTCACATAGTTTGAAAATATAGTATTTAGTTGATGACATTAAGCATTTGCTACAACAGTAAACATAATGGCTTCTGTTTTTCGTGAGGGATTTGTTTCCACACTGCAACACATAAAACATCTGGAAATCCTGTCAATAATCAATTTTTACCAATCTATTCAAATAGATGACAGCTGAAATGCTTTTCTATTTGTGTGATTCAATTGTGATGTTCAGTCATAAGTCAATCAGCATGATGTGAGGCTGAAAATGTGTTAAATCTCGAAGATGCTAGATGCCACAACTGATACAAATATTAGAATCAAGTATTCCAAAAACAAATTCAGTTATTACACTCAAACAAAAAAATCTAAGTGTCATATAGTTACAAATACAAAAATATAGCTCACCCAGGTCTCAAACATGTCCTCTGCCTTAAGCTTTCTTAGAGTTGGTCTGTAGATATAAACCAGGTATTTAGTATTAGATGCATGTGCAATATCTGATTATCTTTCAGAATACTATTAATGTAGCTGCCCTACCTCCTGTGTTCAGATATGAAGGCCACCAGCTCTTCCTCTGAGTGGGGTTTGTCTGGAATGGTTACTGGTTCCTCCATGAAGGGCTCATAGAAGTCCACCTCATTCATCTTCAGAGTCAGCTCTTTAGCAACCTACAAGGCAAAAATAAAAGCAAATTGCATACCACTAATGGCTTTCAAAGACCACTCCACAAAATAAAAATAATAATAAACATCTTCAGAACATATACAGCATAAAATAACATAATACTCACAGATTTCTCAAAGGTGGCAAAAAATTTGATAAAAGGCTGAAACTGTTCAGCTGCCTCTTGGAAAGCAAGATAATCTGAGTAGAGATGAGAAGATAGATTATTTATTTATCATTTATTTTTCAAAGGCAATGGTAATGCTGTAAATATTTATTTCATAGAAACTGAAAAATGTATTTGGACATTGTAGACTAAAAGAATGGTGAAAATATGACCTCTAAAGGTCAACTATAACTTGAAAGAGTAGTAGCCTACAATGTTCAAGAGAACTAATAAGGTGTCATTTAAATTTAAGCCCCAACAGTATTTTGTAGCACCCTTTTGAGTTTTCCCCAAAGTACCTTTCAGGGAACAGTTCCATTTATTTAGAAAGACTAAAGAACATTTTAGTAACACAAAGAAAGTCGACTGTAAAGCATATTTTGTGGAATAAAAATATTCCATAAAAATTTTAAGATCCTCATTAAACCATTAATCTAAAAAAGCATTTAGCCTAACAGAGTCACTTCATATAAATGACCTACAAATGTAGCTTAATGAATAGTAGCCTACAATGCTCAAGAGAGTTCATGCTATTTCAGTGTACTGGAATGTACAGACATTTAATAATGTTAACATATATTACACTGAACTATCTTAAAAATACTACAGTAATTCCAGGAGTTTCCAGGAGTTATTGTTGCAACACAACAGAAGCAGCATTTTATTTTCTCAAAAACACTTTCAGTGAGCACTTTTAAAAACATTTTTTTTTATCTTTACTCACTATACAAAGACAATAGGAATGTTTAATGAATATTAAAGAAACTTCATGGAACCACGAATGCCTAATGAAACATTATTTTTAACAGAGAACTCAACAAAGTGGTAGCTTATTATAAATGACCTCGAAATGTTAACTATAGCTTGAAAGAGTATAGTCTACAATGCTCAGGAGACCTCATGAGGTTTCAGTGTAAATCTTTGTGCACTCTAAAGCACTGAATGATTCCATGGGTTTAAAGGCTCTTCACGGAACCACTGATGCCAATTAAGAGCCTTTATTTTTAAGTGTATATTAGTTAACGTGCAGAGATCATATCACTCCAGCTGAAGGATAAAATTGTCTCTGAACATTCAGATACCTCCTCTCTATCATAGTTTGCTCACACATACTCACGTTCAGACTCTTGACTCTTGAAAAAGCCAATGAGTTTGATGTCTTCTTCCATACGGTCAAAAGCTCGTAACTCCAGAGCATTGTCAATGATCTCAACTGGATCTTCCAACAGCTGAAGTATGAAGAAGACGATTAAGTTAAAATGACATAGAACAGTAGTAAAAATAATTAAATGTCTGGATTTATGATGAATACAGATTCTTTACATCCAAAAGGAATTCCACAAGAGTGTCAGCAGATGGAAGTCCATCAAATTCAATCACACGGTCATCCTTAAAGATATAGACGCTGCCCTCCTCATGTAAACCTTACAATGAAACACATGGTAAGTCTCAGTGTGTTTAGCCTACAGTGTCTATATCTACATCTACAGTGTGTGAATATCAATGTATGTATATGTTGTGTTGAACTGCTGTTTTTTCTAGAAGGTTATGTAATTAGGATTTTAGGCCATTGTATATGCATCATATGTTTATAATAATTACTATATTTCTCTCTTCTTTTTTTTTCAGAAAAACTAAAAAAACAGAATAAAGGGGACACAAATGTGATAATCAAGATGCGTGAGAAGCTCCAGTTTGTGCCAACTGAGTTTGATACCAAACCAAGTAGACATGGTCATTGAATGGCACAGTTAACCAATCAAAATAGAATGTCTTTATAGTGCCATGAAACCAGCAAATCACAAATAGTCTGTCAAACCAAGTTTCGCCTCACCTAGTTTCTTGGCAACCTTTGCATCTTTCTGGGAGTCAACCATTCCAAAGCCAATATCCTTTTCCTCCAAGACTTGAGCAGCTAGCTGTGGAAAAACAAATCAAAAATGTATCAGAATGAAGGACAATGAAGCTGAAAAGCCTGGTTTTAGACTACAATAGTTCATTAGTAGTTGTAGGGCCTCCTTTTGTGGCTAATACATATCAATTTGTCTTGGGAATGACAAGTCCTGCACAGTGGCCAGAGGGATTTTAAGCCAAACTTCTTCTGTGCTTGTGGAGGAAAACATGGGGGGGGGGATGTGCTTTACCCCAAAGTGCTTTAATAATATTTAGATCTGGTGACTGTACAGGCCATTGGAGATGTTCAACTTCACTTTTGTGTTCATCAAACCACTCTGTCACCAGTCTTGCTCTGTGTATTTGTGCATTATCATCCTGATACACAGATGCAATGTTTGAACAGTTAGATGCACATGGTCCTCCAGAATGGTTTGGTAGGCCTTGGCAATAATGCGTCAATCTACCACAAGTATTGGGTCTAGGGAATACCATTATGTTCTAGCCCAAACCATCATTGATTCACCTCCATGCTTCACTCTGGGCATGCAACAGTCTGGGTGGTGCGGTGCATTGGGGCTTCTCCACACCGTAACTCTCCCCAATGTGGGACAGTAAAGGTGGCATCATTAGAGAACAATACATGTATTACACTGTCAACAGCCAAAGGTTGTTGCTGATTGCATCACTGAAACCATCGTTCGGTATTGGCATGAGTGGCCAAAGGTTTGGCTACAGCAGCCCGGTCATTTATTTTGACCCTGTGGAGCTCCCAACAATTTTGATGGAAATAAGAGATTTGAGGTGCAGATTTATTACTGCAGTGTGTTGGGCAGCTATGGTTTTACGTGTTTTTAATACAAGCAGGGTTAGCATGCACACACAGTTACTCCTCTTGGATGTGGTTCATCCTTCTTGATGGTACACCAAAAAGGAATATAATATGTACGTTATTGTAAACACAGTTTACATTCTATGACACAGAAGCCCCCTCCCATTAATATGAAGAAGGCCACAAGTTGGCACAACGGTTAAAATGATTACAGACTTTCTTGAGAAACATAACAGTATGTACTGCTGCTGTAAATATTATAAGTACACAGAGTACACATTGACATCATTGTCTAGATAGTGAACCTGTGAGCCATGAATTTGGAGTAAAGGAGAGCACTTATATAATCATTTTAGAACTTCTCTTGGTTCCATAAATACCCTCAGCTTTCGTTATGATGTGAGTATTTAAATGGCTGAATTTTAAAAACAATTTGCTAGGACCACTTTCACAAAGCCCCGTTCAGATATTCAGAAAGCCCTTAGAAGCTATCAGGTGGACTGAAAATGAAGTGTCTGATTAACGTGATGACTTTTTTTAATCCAGTTAAATACAGAAGTGAAAAAAGAGAGCCATGTGAAGATGGACATGCCAGTCAGCTGCAGTCCCAGGGCCTCTAAGCATTAAAGGTATTACAAACATTGTAGCTGACATAAACTTTATTAGAGTCAGCAGAATGTTTAAAAATGATAGTTAAATAAAATGTTTATTTGATCAAATATGGTTAAAAAATGCAAGATGACCAGTCGGGGTATATTTTATACACAAAAAGGTAGCATTTTACTTTGATGGCTCACTTCTGCTGACTTTTTAAGCAAATTTACTGCTAAATTTCAACTAGCAGTCTCACAACATACATTCCACTTTAACTTAGGAAGTGGATGTCAACTTTATAAATTATACCTTATAAACCTTATATACCTTATAATTATACAAAAATATATAAATTACTACCAAACAAATTGCTGAAAAGCCTAAAAGTATTTTACACCAAAATATTTGACATTACATATATTTACATTTTTAATACTCTCTGCCAAATTCCTTAAGGCCCTATGCAATGTATCTACAATAGCTGTAAATGTGTATAACAGTTGTACATTTAATGCTGCCTTAAATTTTTAGTCATTTCGACTCGCATGAAACCAACTTCAGACATCAACATTGTAAGAAAGTAGTCGCTTATACATTTTTTAAGTTGAATCAATTACATTTTTAAAGCAATTTCAACTTACAGTACATTTTAACTGAATTTAAATGGCAGTTTCTTGCTGCTTTGCTCCAATGAACATGCCATTCAGTCTGTTTTCTATCATATATTCTTTCTTGCCATTTCTACACTCACCTCCAGCACTAGTTCGGTCAAATGCAACTGTTTCTGAAGCTCTTTGGCAGCCGGTGGTGGAGCATGGTAGAACAGACACAGCATGTCGTATTTCTTCAGAGCTTTGCGGTAGTTCTTATCATCTATGTCCAGGACACGGTCTTCGCCATCATAACGGGGGAATTCAAGGCCTTTCTTAGCACTGGCCAGGGTGAAGAAGGCCATAGAAGCAAGCAGCAAGATCCAAATGGTGTGCATGGTCTATTGTATCAAAGACCTTTCCAAAAAGAATCTGTGTCTCTTCATGCAGCGTCACTGGCCTTTTAACACCTCTGGTATAGAAGTGTTATCGAAGTCAATAATTGTAATGCCAACTGCCCAGGCCTTCTTCCAGAGGGTCAAAAAGTCTGCAAAATGAAAAGTCAGCTTTCTGCAGGCAAAAACCTTTGACTCTCTGCCTTCTCTCCTGAGCAGAGACAAAGAGTGGCTGATTGTGCTGGTAATAGGATGGGAGAGAGCAGGCAGGATACCTTACATAGCAGTGTCCCTCTAACCCATTTTTAGGAGCCCAGTTGTTTCAGAGCTAAAAATACCTCAGATGGAGTAGCAAGGGAACAAGAGCACTAGGGAGAGTGATTAGACCAGTTAATTTGACATTTGATGCTGAGAGGTGGAAAGAGTGATATGAAGACTTCACTGCAATATAAGACAAGAGCAAATGGTCCCTTTCCAGTATGTGTGTGATAGAGATGGGAAGGTTAGAGTTAGTTATAAAGTCATTGAGTGTACTGTATACTGTAACCAGACACTTGCTTCTTTTTGGTCAGGTATGCCCCTCTACATTTGTGTGGAAGTTAAGCTGACACTTTACATGCGCTGATGTGACATTGATTGGTTTTGTTGGCTCTGAAAAGCCATTAACACAGCGAGAAATGACCAAAGTCCTAATTAAAACCACACAAAAATCTAAAAACTGAACAGGCTTTATGCGTTCTGACTGTTAATTACACATGTATCTGTATTGTCATTATTGGTATGTACATAATTTTTAACACAAATATATGGCTAGTTTAGGAAGGGGTTTACACATCACAATTATTAGCTTAAAAAATGTGAAACTTTTTATGCAAAAACAGCATTTGTGGGCCAACAGGACCATATTCACTGTTACATATTTTGTCATTCACAAGGGTTTTCGGTTTATTTATGGTTGTGAATTGCATTATGGGATGTCTGCTCTGTCGACTTTTTGGTGTTAAAAATTCTACTCTACAGTTTAACAAAGTGAGTTTTATTGACATTTTGGTAGTTTGAAATAATATAATGTATAGGAAATAATATGTAGAGGAGGGGTCTCAACCCAATTTGACTCAAGCACAAGAAAAAAAGTGATGTAATTGGTGCATCTTAGAACAACAGATTTATAATTCAAGCATTACCTGTCACAAATCAGCTAATTTTTTTTGCTTTACGCAACTGCTGAAATATATCTCTGGCTGTTTAAATTGGCATTTTGACATTTAAATAGTCATAATAATGATAATAATAATATTTACGATTATTCTGTCCCAACCAACTGTTACTTTACCAAAAGTTTAAGATAGCATAAGAACAGCAGAAACCGTTTAAATAACTTTACTGACTTCACTGGCAATTGTTCTTCTCAATATCTTTCTTTTTTGTAAGTACTACAAAGAGGGGGAAAGTAAGTATATATTCCCATTTATTTTAGCTTGTTCCTTCAACCAGCTGTAAAATGTACATAGTTTTCATAGAAATCTCAATATGCGTATGAGGAAAATCTGTTATATGAGACCATTTGAATCGAATATTAGCACAATGATCATGCTTGTTACACCACCAGCATAACGTGTAAGCCATGAAAAAGTGTTTGTTCAACAAAATACTGGCGGTATAAAATAGATTTTTTAAATCAAATGACCCTTGAATATTTACAAAAATATTGCTTTGTTAAATATAGAGCACTTACGGACATATATTTCAACGTTTAAATCAGCACCAGAAATAATCTGTATGTGTGTTACTCTGACTGCACACTGAGAGAAACCGAAAGTTAAAAACATGAATCGTGAAAATCCAATAAGTTAAGTCAATTCAAACCATTTGAGGAAACCGGTAGGCACCAACCATTTAAGTTCCAAAACTAATCTACTGTTGAAGTCAGAATTATTAGCCCCTCTGTTTATTTTTCCCTCAATATCTGTTTAACAGAGAGTAGATTTTTCCAACACACTTCTAAACATAATAGTTTGTTCTGTAGACTATCGGGGGAAAAAAAAGCTTAAAGAGGCTAATAATTTTGACCTTAAAATGTTTGTTAAAAAATTAAAAACTGCTTTTATTCTAGCCTAAATAAAACAAATAAGACTTTCTCCAGAAAAAAAAATATTATCAGGCATACTGTGAAAATTTCCTAGTTCTATTAAACATTTGAAAAATATATTCAAAAAATTTAATTCAAATGGGGGCTTATAATTTTGACTTCAACTATATGAGTATTGTGAATTTACTTTTTTTAAGCAGAAGTAATGAGATATTTAAGGGATTCAGTAAGTCTTGATTGTGCATTAATGATGAGCACCTGCTGTTAACAAGCAGAAACTCAAAACTACAGTGACCTCAGTCTCATTAAAAGAAATAAAACGCAATTAATCTCTTAAAATCTTAGCAGAGGGTCATTAAACCCTCACAAACAGTATTGACAGCTTCACACAGCGAAACTGAGTTCAAAACTCAAATGAGTAGAAGTAATTTCCATTAAATTTTGAGTTAACTACACTCATTTCATTAAAATAATTTGACTGTTAGGTTTTACAGTGTACATATAAATGTTGTTGCGTCACGGTGGTGCAGTGGGTAGCGATGTAGCCTCACAGTATAGGAAGGTCACTCTTTCGAGCCCTGGCTGGGTCAGTTGACATTTCTGTGTGGAGTTTGCACCCCCGTGTTGGCGTGGGTTTCAGTGTATGGGTGTTTCTCAGTGTTGGGTTGCAGCTGGAAAGGCATCCGCTGCATAAAACATATGCTGGATAAGTTGGCTGTTTATTGCCCTGTGGTGACGCCTGATGAATAAAGCGACTAGGCTGAAAAAAATTAATGAATGAATATAAATGTTGCCTTAATAAAGTTATAGTATTAATAAAGTTATTTATATTAATAAAAATTAATATAAATTAATTAATAAAGACACAGACACGCCAAAAATTATCAAATTGTGGGCATATTTTGTAAATCATAAAAATATAGCATAAAAAAAAACATACAAATTGTGTATTTTTAAAAATGTAAAAATGCTGTGGATACTTGGACACTCAATGTTTTGTTTTATTTTGTCTATATTCAAAAGTCTAGTTTTGTCTTGACTCAACTTTTTAAGTCTGTATAATTTTAAATAGAGTTTGTTGTCATAGAAATGACACGGGTAGGCCTATACTTATGCCCAAAATGAGACCAGCTGTCACTAGGATTCCTGTCCAATTACTTTGGAAACAGCATTCCTAAAAAGTCTCTTTCTCATATTAACACACACAGTCACACTGAAACCTGCCCAGCTCGTCCTGATTTTGCCAAGTGCTAGTTGTCCTGAGACCAACATATTTTATAATGACCCAGGGACATCATTTCTATCAGCCAATCAAACGTTATTACGTCATCATTATGAGCCTCCTGCAGAGTCCGCCAAAAACGCAAATTCAAAAAAGAAAACACACACACACACACACCCACGCGCAGGCAACTGCCATTTTCACCAGTGAAGAGGACAGGTGAAGAGGACAAGTGAAGAGGTGAGATCACCGGTTTTCTTCTATAAGTTTACAGAAGCATTAATGATTGTAAAATTCATATGTGTTTATGGATTTGTCCTTTTAACTTTTAACGTTTAACTTTTGTTTGCATTAAGTTAGCCTAATTAGCCGTCCCTACCTAACGTTAGATTAGCGTGCTGCTCTTCCGCTACTGTGATTTACTTTCTGGTATTAATTAAAACAAGCTAACAATATTGTTTTGAATATTTAAATCTAGCAAACATTAGTAAACGCGTCTAAACTTTGCCTCTTGCTAATTTAGCGACCTTTTTTTTCTAATAATTCGGTTTTTAGCATGTATTATGTCAATTTCATTTAAAGACACACCAACACAGCACTAAAGTTAGTTTAAACACAAGACAGTAGGCTATTTGAGGCATTAACTACTGTGAATCACTGCAAAAATTCAACTAACGTTAGTGATTTAATAATTTATTCTGTTAAATATGTTGGCATCATCACAGGTTTATTAATATCATTTATATTTTAACCTCAGGTCATCATCACTGATTTATTAATATGTTAACCTTAGGTCATCATCACTAATTTATTAATATTATTAATATGTTAACCTCAGGTCATCATCACTGATTTATTAATATTATTAATATGTTAACCTTGGGTCATCATCCCTGATTTATTAATATTATTAATATGTTAACCTCAGGTCATCATGACTGATTTATTAAAATTATAAATATGTTAACCTCAGGTCATCATCACTGATTTATTAATATTATTAATATTTTAACCTCAGGTCATCATCACTGATCAATTAATATTATTAATATGTTAACCTCAGGTCATAATCACTGATTTATTAATATTATTAATATGTTAACCTCAGGTCATCATCACTGATTTATTAATATTATTAATATGTTAACCTTGGGTCATCATCCCTGATTTATTAATATTATTAATATGTTAACCTCAGGTCATCATGACTGATTTATTAAAATTATAAATATGTTAACCTCAGGTCATCATCACTGATTTATTAATATTATTAATATTTTAACCTCAGGTCATCATCACTGATCAATTAATATTATTAATATGTTAACCTCAGGTCATAATCACTGATTTATTAATATTATTAATATGTTAACCTCAGGTCATCATCACTGATTTATTAATATTATTAATATGTTAACCTTGGGTCATCATCCCTGATTTATTAATATTATTAATATGTTAACCTCAGGTCATCATGACTGATTTATTAAAATTATAAATATGTTAACCTCAGGTCATCATCACTGATTTATTAATATTATTAATATTTTAACCTCAGATCATCACTGATCAATTAATATTATTAATATGTTAACCTCAGGTCATAATCACTGATTTATTAATATTATTAATATGTTAACCTCAGGTCATCATCACTGATTTATTAATATTATTAATACGTCATCATCACTGATTTATTAATATGTTAACCTCAGGTCATCATCACTGATTTATAAATATTATTAATTTGTTAACCTCAGGCCATCATCGCTGATTTATTAATATTGTTAATATCTTAACCTCAGGTCATCATCACTGATTTATTAATATTATTAATATCTTAACATCAGGTCATCATCACTGATTTATTAATATGTTAACCTCAGGTTATCATCACTGATTTATTAATAAT